AATGGTGATATATGATACTAGCTTTGTGCCTTGAATTTTTTTTTGGAACCAAAATCAAAACAAAAGCGATTCTTCATGAACTTGGTGTCAAATGTGAATCTTGAACTTTATAGAGAAATAATGAACCAAAATTTGAAGAATATGGAACTCGCACCTCCTTTGAAAACTCTTTAAAAAATCCATCCTATATTCTTCGAAACAATAGCAAAATCCAATCTAATTTCTTAAGTTCAAAGGAATATATGTGAGAAATTTAGTTCAAATCCATGGTCGAAGACGAACTTAATATGGATGTCATGCCCCGGGACCCTTTGAAGATGAAGATACCATTTGCCAAACAATACACCACCAACATCCAACCAAGTTTTGAATAAACATCCTTGGAACCAAACAGGTGCGAATCCTCTCAGAAACCTTGAAGAAGATTTGCTTTGTACTGATTAAGATGTTGTACTGATGAGAGTATGGGATTACATGATGTTTAGCACAACATAAGATAAGGAATACACACAAAGCCTTTAAAAATTCCTGAACTTCCAGAAGTAAACCTAGCTTCACAAAACAAAACAAACAAATTGGTTAAACGGTTAGCTAAAACAGAGATGATAGAAAATGAAATGTGAATGATCAGTGAATCTAAGGGTAAATTTTGGGGTATGACAAGATGCATATGTACCCTTCTACTCTCCTCGACCATGACTTTAGGGACTTGAGTATGAAGTCAGTGCCATTATTAAGGATGATCAAGAGGAAGAAATGCCCAACTTTGTGACGCGTGGATTGATATGTCAGAATTAGACCGCTTTTGTTTCTTTTAAAAAATTCTTTCACTCTGTCCAAGGTGAAAGTGAATTTGTGAGGGATTTGTTTAAACTTTTATCATCATCAATAAAATGTTATTTTGTTTATCCATACTTTTTTCCCTTTTTGCTTTATTTCTGAAAAATGGTAACATAAAGAACCAAAAAATACTAATGTGATGATCACTTTTATCTGCATGATACTTGCACTTCTTGTTCATATTCTAAAATTAAACATAAACCATTGTGCATATTGATTGTTAAACCCATTAAAAACAATGACTTTATACCCTCTCACAACTCTGAGTTCCATGTGTTTTGAAGTGGAAGAAGAGAATGTTGAAGAGGTTCTCGCTAAAATTTCTCGATTGCTTGAGCATGAAGAAAAGACCATTTAGCCTCATGAATAGCTGGTGGAATTGGTTAATTTGGGTTCTGATGATGATAAGAAAGAAGTCAAGACTGGGGCACTGCTTCAGTCAGATGTTAAGAAGAGCATGGTAGAGCTTCTTAGAGAATATGTTTACGTGTTTTCTTGGTCTTATCAAGACATGCCTGGTCTTGATACTGACATTGTGGAGCACCATTTGCCATTAAAACCTGAATGTTCGCCTGTGAAACAGAAATTGAGAAGAACTCATCCTAACATGGATGTGAAGATTAAAGAGGAGGATCAGAAGCAGATTGATGCTGGTTTTCTTATGATTGATGAGTATCCTCAATCGGTAGCCAATATTGTGCTTATTCCAAAGAAAGATGGAAATGTTCAAATGTGTGTTGACTATAGAGATTTGAATAAAGTAAGTGCGAAAGATGATTTTCCACTACGACACATTGACCTACTAGTAGGTAATACTGCTAAGTTCAATATCTTTTCCTTTTTGGACGGATTTCCTGGTTATAATCAAATAAAGATGGAACTTGAGGATATGGAAAAAAACAACATTCATTACACCCTGGAGAACATTCTGTTACAGAGTGATGTCCTTCGGTTTGAAAAATGCTGGTGCAACGTACCAGAGAGCTATGACCACTCTGTTCCATGATATGATGCATAAAGAAATTGAGGACTATATGGATGATATGATTTGTAAGTCGAAGACTGAAAAAGATAATATTGAATACTTATTGAAGTTATTCCACCTACTTTGTTTTCTAGGTATGCTAGAAGAGTCTATGGAGTGTGTTCTAGGTCAACAGGATGAATCTGGTATAAAAACACAAATGTCGTGCAAACACAACAAGCATACCACAAAGGCCTTATCCTTAACAAAAGTGACAGCTCCATTCGACCTCCAATCCAAGGTTGAAGGTGGATCCGTACATGTTACCTTCTGAATATCGTCATCGTTCCAAATACCCATGGCGTATGTTTTTAAGGTCGTGTATGTTTCTTTGTACTCTTGTTGCTCAAATCAGCAAAGTTGGTGAGACCAAGAAAAGTGCTATTAGGTGAGTCTCTCTTTGCATTAGTCTCTACGATATACTTCAAATTTGAAACAAGTGTCAAATTTCATTGTAATCTCTTCTATGTCACTGTATACTCGTCCATGGTCTTTCTTCCATAGTTGAAATAACTGTATAACATCATCTTGATTAGGAAGCTTATCAAGTTTAGGACCCAATATGGAGGAGTACTCACTGATTGGGATATCTTTATTTTCATTAGTTTTTATCATTTGTATCGCAAAGTATATGCATAGGCATGCAGTGAGGATGATGAAGATGAGAAATCGATTTGAGATGTAGGAAGTCTTCATCTTTTGATTTCTTTTTTAAAGGCAGTCGAAAAATAATAGATGTGTATGAAAAGATGAAGATAAAACTTTCTGTAAAAAGATCTGTATTCTTTAAAAGTCAGTTCCACATTTTATATTTATAGAATATAAGTTGAGATGTCAAGTTCTACTTCAGAGATTATATTTTTTGGTATCATAAAGTCAATGGTTAGCAAATGTATTGATCTAATGTAAAAAATTAATAAAAACAGGAAGAAAGAAACTAATGTATAGAATAAAGTAATGGATATCTGTAATAATAATAATAATAATAATAAAGATAATAATAATATTAATAATTATTATTATTATAGTTATAATAATAATGATAATAATAATAATAATAATAATAATAATAATAATAATAATAATGATGATGATAATAATAATTAAATTATAATTATAATTATGATAGTATAATAATAATAAAAATAATAAATATAAATAATTATTATTATAATTATAATTATTATAATGATAGTATAATAATAATAATAATAATAATAATAATAATAATAATAATAATAATAATAATAATAATAATAATAATAATAATAATAATAATAATAATAATAATAAAGGATAAAATATTAATATTTTATTAGAATTATTTAGGATTTTCAAACTACACATACTTATTTTATACAATAATGCATAGTCTTATTTTATTATTTGATAGAATGCATAGTCTCTTTTTTAATCACTAATGCATAGTCTCTTTTTTTAATCACTAATGCAAAGTCTTATTTTATTATTTGACGGAATGCGTAGTCCCTTTTTATAATCACATAATGCATAGTCTTATTTTATTCCGTTCAACGAGAGATCTTAATATATTTCAAATCAAAATGTCAATGGTTCTCATTATATTACAAATATTTATTGCACTAGAATACAAGTGGCTTCCATGAAGACCAATGCTAACACGTGACGTACCCTAGCTACTTTACTGGTTGGTGTATCGTTTATGAAATTTAATTGCCACATTTTTACTAAATTTTTTACCATGAAACAAATTATAAGATTTAAAGATGTTAATTTTAAAAATAATTTTTGGACTAATCAAAAACAATTTTCTCAATCTTCGGATTTAATCCAGAACAATAATCTAAATCTTCAAATTAAACAAGTTAAAATTTAAATAGATTAAATAAAAGATCTAATTCATGCATGGATTGTAAGAAGATCTTGGACCTTATTCAATAGAAGATTACTATCCAATAGAAATGTTGTGAATAACGATACCTTAAAATAAAATATATTCGGTTTTTAATGATTAAGAAATACAAAAAATGTTAGGGTTAAAGAAAAATGTAAGGGTTAAAAAGTCATGTAGCCCCAACACACTTTTCTTTGAGAGGTTTTTGCATGGCTACTATGCCACCTATTTTAGTTGTTAAATTTACATTTAAAATTTATATAATATTAATGATATAGAAGATTCAAATATTATTTAAACATTTTTTTATAATAATTATCATTAAAATTATATTTTATTTAAATCAATAAATTTAAATGAGTTAATTATTTTTATAAATATATATTTTATTTGTTAAAATAATATGATTGTCAAATTTTGACTAAAAAAAATTCGGAGGGAAATAACTTAATAATAAAAATAAAAATTTATTAGTGACCAAAGTTTCGGTCACAATTTTTTTTATTAATTAATTTATATAAAAAATAATTATTTGAGACGGAGAATTATGGTTACTAAATCTCAATTACTAGTTCGATGACTAATTTTATTTTTGTGACCGATTTAGTGACTTTTAAAATTTTACTAACAAAATGTCAAATTTTGGTGGCTAATTCAGTCACTAGAGTGACCGAAATTTTTGAATCACTAATTCGGTATCTAAAAGTGAATTTTCTAATAGTGTGAATAATAAAATAATTGCACAAGAAAAAATTGTTTCAATTAAGTTTTGAAAAAGTCTGCTTATATTTTTATTTTATTTTTTTTAATAAAATTATCAAAACATTCATTACACCCTGGAGACACTTCTAATTCACTGAATTTGATTGGTTTTGGCCGATTCGCGTTGATTCAATTGTTTATGCGGTCCAACAATTTGATGATACCGGTGACACTTCTAATTCTCAATTCGAGTGAATGATTTGATCTGGATTTTAACACACTAGTCATAATTATTATTTCGGACCACTCTTAATAATTTCAATAAAATATTAATCTTTTATTTCTTTTTATTATTTTTATTTAAAATGGTAAGAGGCCCCTTGGAATCATTTTATAAAGTCCAGAATAAACAAATTCCAAAAGTTCATTTTATACTAGTTTTCTTTTTGCCTTCTTTATCAGTTGATATCTCAACTCGTTCTATAAATATGTGGAACAATTTTTTAAGCAATACACATCTTTTCATACAAAGTTTTATCTTAGTGTTAGTTTTAATAAAAGATGAAGATTTCATACAACTCAAACCCATTTCGCTTCTTCATCATCTTCACTGCGTGTTTATTTATATACTTTGCCATTCAGAAAAAGAAACCTGCAGATTTGAATATATCCTCAAATTTTGAGATCCAACCCAATCACTATTCCCTTATATCAGAGCCTATACTTGATGAGCTTCCGAATGAAGATGAAGTTTTAAGACTATTCCAACAATGGAAGAAAGAACATGGACGAGTCTACAGTGATCTAGAAGAGATGACAAAGAAATTTGACACTTTTGTTTCAAATTTGAAGTTTATCGTAGAGACTAATGCAAAGAGAGACTTACCTAATAGTGCTTTTCTTGGTCTGACCAACTTTGCTGATTTGAGCATGAAGGAGTACAAAGAAAAATACATGACTTTAAAAACTGAGGCCATAGATATTTTGAACGATGATGATGTTCAGGAAGTAACATGTAGTGATCCACCTTCATCCTTGGACTGGAGGTCGAGAGGAGCTGTCACTCCTATAAAGCAACAAGGCGATTGTGGTAACTTTGTTGTGTTTGCACGATATATGTTTTTTTTGTACACGTTTGTGTTTTTATAATTCACATCACAGTATACTCTCACACACAAAATAATACTTCCTTTTCCTTAGGTTGTTGCTGGGCTTTCGCATCTGTAGGGGCCATTGAAGGAATAGTTGCAATAAAGACAGGGAATCTTGTCCCCCTTTCAGAGCAAGAGCTTCTAGATTGTGAACCAAGCGGAAATTGCGACGGTGGACTTGTGTCCAAAGGATTGAATTGGGTAACCAGAAACAAAGGAATTGCATCGCAGCATGATTATCCTTATACGGCAACGAAGGATGATTGCAGATCCTCCCAGCCCCAGGTTCTTAAATTCTATCAAATTTATTATTACATAGTTTTTGTATGATCATGCATTAAAAACTAATAAGATTTCATCTCTTTTCTTTTTTTCATGAAATGTAGATTAAAAACAGTCCTGGTAGTGGTATTGATTCACGTCAGCGCTTGCAGATATCAGACAGGGCACTATTGTGTGCAGTTGCTAAGCAGCCTATTATTGTTAGTGTTTATGCAGAGTCACCCAAATTTAAAGAATACAAGGGTGTAAGTGGTTATATAATGTTGAGTTCTTAACTTATTCATTCATGTCCATTATTGACTTTGTTTACACTCATTTAACACCTAGCTATCTCATCAAGATTTTTAAAATGTTTTTTTTAAAGTATTTTTACATTTGTTAATGAAGAATGCATTTATCTATTGACAGGGATTATTTAGAGGTGAAGATTGCCCGTTGGATTCAACGAATGTAACTCACGGCATGGTAGTAGTGGGTTATAATTCCGAAGGTGGTGAAGATTATTGGATTTTGAAGAACTCACATGGAACAACATGGGGAATACAAGGCTATATGAAGATGAAAAGGGACTATACTAAACCGTATGGAGTGTGTGGAATCAATGTACAGGCTTTTATTCCAATCAAAAATTAAAAGGTTACATTTAAATTTGAAGAATAAGTTAAAGCAAGGTTTATGGTTTTGTGAGTCTAGAGTTTGTTGTGTAGTTATTGTTGATGTTCTTTTAAACATGTCAATTCTCTTGTTCATGATTGTTATTCTTGATGTAACATAGCAGTCATGATAATAAAATAATTGGTATTATCTGATTAGTAGTCTCTTGTTCCTTTACGGTGACTTACACAATTCTATTTTTCTCATTCTTGAAAAGAAAAGAGTCAGAAAAATCAATTTTCTTCGTTCTTGAAAAGAAAATATTTGTGTCTTGTTATTTATAAATAATTTATATTTTTAATTGAAGTATTATTAATGAAAAATATTAGATAACCTCCAATCTTGATTTCTTTTTTTAATATAACATGTTTTTTTAAATAAAATAAATTTTTAAAAAAATTACGAAATTAATTATGTTTGTAAGAATAGTCGCCATATGAAATGGCTGATCAAGTCTTCCCGGACCTGAGTCGCCATTTCATATGGCGCATGGGTTAAAAAAAGCATGCCCTACCCTACACTGAGTCGCCATATGAGATAGCGCCTCAGGTGTAGGGTTTTTTAGTTTTTATATTTTTTTAATATTTAATTTTTGTTTATATTTTATTAATATTTAATATTTAGTTTTTGTCACATATAATTAAAAATAATAATAAAATTTGTTTTTTTTAATATTTTATAAAAAAAAATATAAATAAGAGAAATAATAAATTATAATATTTATAATATAAAAAATCTTCAATATTGTACAACAGATGAAAAGAAGAAAATCAATGGTCGGCTCTATCAAAACGACAATCGGTACCACATTGGGGAGGATTCGCGTGGCGTCGAAATCTACCACGAGGATGTTGAGGTCTATATGGTATTTGTGTGATTACTTGTGAAAGAGGTATTTGTTAAGATGATCCCGGCGTATCAGATAAATTTTGAAGCATTTGACCCCAAAAGTCGGGCTGGCCGTTGCCAACGGCGCTTCCGTAATTAAGTTCAATGCCCATGTTTTCGTAGTTTTGTCGGGAAGGTTGGGTGGGGTGTGAACGGTATGGTTGTCTGAATTGATACATCGAATCGGTTAGGAAACGATATAATGGTTGTTGTGGGGTTTGACATTCAAAAAGTGGATAGGTATTTTGTTGGTATGAAGATTGATTGGCTGGTGTGCGGTCAAAAGAGTTATCTGGGCTATAGTGGATGAGATATAATCAAAAGATGTATCAGGGCTATATGCAGAAGTAGTGTCGGTTTCAAAAGGCTGGAGGTAAGGGTGAGGCTCTTGTTGTGATTGGGTTGGTGACATGTATATGTTGCAATTTTAGAAGATTGATTGGGTGAGTATAGTTGGATGTTGGGTATAACATGGTGTTTGATGATGGGCATTGGGTTGATGCTGTGGGTTCAAGGAAGACGCACGTTGCCTTGGGTCAATCAAATATGTCGGCTCAAACACAAATTGATGTGAGGTTGTAACCGACATAAACCAAATCATATATTGATAACTTGTTCTAGCCCGTTCCACAACAGGGTCGGTTAAGATGTGTTCATTTCGGTTCTTCCAATGCAGACACATCTCTTTCGCAAAGTCCTTCCAATGCGTACAAGAACCTTGATAACGGTTGGCAGGATCCTCCCTCAACCCATGTGTATTGCATAAGACATATCGCCCAAAATTTCATGCGGGAAATCAAAGATAAAACACTAAGGAAGAAGGTTGTGATCGCAGGGTATGCACTAACAGAGCCCATATTCAAACACTACCGTGACGAGATCAGAATGACAAACACATATGTATTAAGATGGATTGATAATATTCATAAAGAGAAATGGACAAGGGCATGCGACAATGAGGTGCGATGGGGCTACATGACAACTAACCTCATTGAATGAATGAATTATGTTTTCAAGGGAATCTGAAACCTACCGATAACTGCCTTGGTAAAGACAACATATTTTAGGCTCGGGGCGCTCTTTGATAACATACGTATAAAGTGGGGTTCAGTATTACAATCTGGTCAACTGTACAATAATAGTTCAATAAAATTCATGAAAGATGAAGCTTCCAAAGCCAATACACATGTGGTCACAATCTTTGACTGTAATAAAGGTTGGTTCAATGTTGTCGAGTCAATTGATCATAATGAAGGAATACCTAGAGAATGTTATCAAGTGGAACTGGATAAGAGTTGGTGTGACTGTGGAAAGTTTTAGGCATTTCGTATGCCTTGCTCCCATGTTACAACAGCATGTTCGAAGGTGCGCTAGGACCCAACCAACTATCTTTCTGCTGTTCACCAAGTGATAAGTCTATGCAATGTCTACACATGTACTTTCAAGTGGTGGAAAAGGAGGAATATTTACGAAGGAAAAATTGTCTGGCATAATGATTTGATGCGAAGAAAGAAAAAGGGTCACCCTAATAGCACGCGCATTCGAACGAAGATGGATGCAGCAAACAAAATGGTCAGATTATGTAGTTTGTATCGGCAACCAGGACCCAATCGTACAAAATATCCCAATATATGATCAAGCACAATATCATAGTTTCTAATGTAACCGTGTCCCTTTAAATCAACAAAAAATTTAATTCCATTGAAAGTATAGCTAAGCAATTATAATTAACAAGCAACATAAATTAAACAAACATAACTTAATATCACAACAAAATTCCTAAAATAACAACAACATAACCTATTATCAAAATAACAATCCAAAAATAACAACAACAAACCCTCATAAAACAACACAATGCATCAACTTGTCTAGGATATCACAACCATCAAGGTAATATTTTTATCACAAGGACACCAGCATCATTTTCCACTTTTCTCCAATCATGAGTAACTCCATTTCTCCCTGACTCCTCAACCAACCTCTCAATTTTCCTAATCTTTTCACCTGCAACAATATTTCCTTCTAGCCAGCGGTTCAGTTCCCTATCCAAATGCTCCAAAGTCTGCATGATCCACAGTAGCACCTTCATCGGAGGCTTTGTTGCTGAAAAATAAACTAGGGTATTTCTTTTTATTAGAGGAAATGTTGGAAACAGTTCCTCAGATGATGATGACGACGACGATGAACGTTGATTCAGAAATGCAGACATTCTAGACTGATTTCAAAATTATGAAGACTTTAGTCTATTGGTGAAAATTGTTGTGAAAAAATATATGAGTGTGCAGTCTTATTTATAGAAAAATAAAATAGTACGTATCACATATGATATGCCGTAAATACCCTTACAAATTTTATTATTTTTTAAAATTATATTTTTTTTTACAAAATATAAAAAAATAATTTTTATATGTTTTTCAAACAAAAATTAAACATTAAAAAATAATAATAATAAAAAAACCTACAACTGATGCGCTATCCCATATGGCGACTCAGTGTAGGATAGGACATGAAATTTTATAGTCATGCGCCATATGAAATGGCGAATTATGTCTGAGAGACCTTGTTCAGTCATTTCATATGGATGTTCGCACGTGATTTTCACGGGGACAACCTCTGGCCTTCCCACGCGGATTTGCTTGCGGAACCTGCCAAACTACTCCCAAGACAGTTTTAGTTTTAAGCCAGTTGTTTGTTTGGATAATGGAGAACTTTGAAGGTTATAGATTTTGTAATTTGTACTCTGACTAACTTGGATGTTCAAAGACTGGGAAATGGAAGAAACAAGAATTTCGTAAATATTCTGACGGTGAAGCTTTAAAATGCCTAAACTACTTGATAAACTTAGAATAAAAACTTAAAGTAAAATGCAAAAGTACAAGAAAAGGATGTTTGGACGTATTTGTACATTTTGGAGTGAAAAAGTAACTCTTTTCTCTATAGTGCGATACTCAGAGTGTTTTTCTTCCAATACTGACAAAAGACGGCTCTATTTCTTAGAAAAGCTTGCTTTATATATGCGTATGGAGTAACTGCTAAGGGCTTCTCGGGGGCACCACGTGTCACACCACGTCTTGGAAAAACTACCTCCACGTATCCCATTTCAAACTGACTTCCCGCCAATCCCCTAGCCTCTCCCATCGAGGATGCCTTAGTTGGCTTCTTCTTTGTGTCGGTCGATGCAGATCCCGTCGAGTCGGGTGTGATGCTAGCCATTTTTTAGTGTTGTCGGCCTTTGTTCTTTATGCAAGGAGTGATTCAACTTTCAACCTCTTGTCGAGGTTAGTTGGATAAATTTTAGCCAACGAAATACCCCACCAAGACCCAAGCTTCGACGGAAACTTCTGCCGACTGAGACGCTCGGTGTCTTTCGAAGTCTGGCTTTTTGCCATCATGACTTAACTGTCGGCATGTCCGCGTGTTAGTCGCCTCCTTACGTAATAATTGTACCTTCCTGCAGCACAACTTCCAATAATTCCCATCACTCTTTTCCACTTCCCCGCGTTATTACCAACTATTAATCATGACTTCCCCCACGAGTGGGTATTGAAAAGCCTTTTCCTTTTGCCTTCTGCATTGATATTTTGTATAAATACCCCCATAAGTTCTTACGTTAGATCTTTTCTCTTCAAACTCTCATTTCTGCACCTCTTCTGCTTCCTCTATCAGAGTCTTACCAACCAACTCCAATATTTTCCATGGATTCTTCTTACCAAACACCTTAGACTACCGGAAATAACCCCATAGATTTTGTTTTGTCAGAGGATGAGGTTCATAAACCTCTTCAAAACCCCACACGCCCTGATGAAACTGTTATAGCAGCATGGAAGAAACAAGTGTTAATCCCCTTTGGGGTAGCTGGTCAGCTTCATGCATTCCATTGCCCATATCCTCTTGGGAAACCCAACCATGAGGCCATGCAACCTTTCTTTCTTGGCTTTCCGGCAGCTCTGCCTCCAGCTTTCCATAAAGGTGGAAAACTCGACTTAAAGTTTATGGCGTCCAAAGCTAGAGTCTTTCGGTCGATGCCCACTCTTGGCAACAAAGACTATTTGGCCTGGCTAGACAAGGTTCAAAACAAACTTCAAGAT